TATTAAGGAAAATGATGCTTAGCTAGTATACATTTTAGGTTCAAATGTATATGAAACTTAAAGATAGAAAAACTTTAGCATAGTCTTACATGTTATAGTGTAAGGGTTTCATTCCAATGGAGTTTTGAAAGTTAATACTAATTCATCCTAGGTTATTAGTTTCAATATTCCATGACATATTTATAATACTTTATATGTTCTCTTTGATTTGATATTTCACTTGACCATAACAGTTTTGTTCAGAATGTCTAATGATGTTTATTTTTAATAATTGTGTTATTTTTATATGACGTATGCTTCTTGGTGTTGGTAAACTCATTTTACAGTGGTATAGTGGTCTCTGACTGACAGGTAAGTTGTTACTAAATAAAAATAGAAAAGTAGATCTTTTCTCCCCCTTTAAAGTGAATAAAATGGGGGCGCCTGGGTGGCTCAGTGAGTTAAAGCCTCTGCCTTCGGCTCGTGTTGTGATCCCAGGGTCCTGGGATCGAGCCCCACATTGGGCTCTCTGCTCAGCAGGGAGCCTGCTTCCTCCTTCTGCTGCCTCTCTGCCTCCTTGTGATCTCTGTCTAATAAATAAATAAAATCTTTTAAAAAAAAATAAAGTGAGTAAATTGGTGAAATCTCACAAGGCAAAAGGAGCAAACCTGCCTTTCCTTTTTAACATGTATATTGAATAGAGAAATAGATTTCTTTGTTCGCAGACCTTATTATAAAAGCAGATAAGTATAGTATATACTTATATATCTTTAAGTATAGCTGCCTAAGTAGTCCTCACTTATCCATGTGATACATGTTGAGGTTAAAAATAGAATGTTTGCAAGTATGAAACTAATCTTTGAGAACCAAGCTTGCCTTATCTATCAATCAATCAAGAAGGCTCCATGCTGGGTGTTTAAAAGCTCCATGCCTTAAGAGACTCTTAATCTCACAAAACAAACTGAGGGTTGCTGGGGGGAGGTGGGGGGAGGGATGGGGTGGGTTCTGGACGTTGGGGAGGGTATATGCTATGGTGAATGCTGTGAAATGTGTAAGCCTGATGATTCACAGACCTGTACCCCGGGGCACAGGTTCTGGACGTCGGGGAGGGTATATGCTATGGTGAGTGCTGTGAAATGTGTAAGCCTGATGATTCACAGACGTCGGGGAGGGTATATGCTATGGTGAGTGCTGTGAAATGTGTAAGCCTGATGATTCACAGACCTGTACCCTGGGGCAAATAATACATTCTATGTTAATTTTAAAAAAGAGCTTCATGCTTTTATCTTTTGTACCCCGGGGCAAATAATACATTCTATGTTAATTTTAAAAAAGAGCTTCATGCTTTTATCTTTTATAAATAGAAATTAATATAGTTCACATTTTTTAAGGGATATACATTTTTTTTTCTTATTTATGATTTTAGCTTCTACTAAGTTTTCTGCCTCTTAGATACCTCCTTTTTTTCATTTCAGGACTCATATGAACGAGCAAAACATATCTTGAAGACTCATGCAAAAGAGCGTAAGAATCTAGCAGAAGCTTTACTAACCTATGAGACTTTGGATGCCAAAGAGATGCAAATTGTTCTTGAGGGAAAGAAATTGGAAGTGAGATGATAACTCTTAAAATGGATGCATTGCTGGTTTTGCTGCAGGAATATATAAGTAGCATTTCGGTAGTCTCCTTTTGCGATGCTTTTCTCCCATTCTTGCCTTGGTATCACTCAAGAGTGTGAAACACTTTGTCTCTCTTTTGTCACATTTAATCTAATTCTGGTTATTCTCATGATGATACCTATGGCAAATTATCAGCCCATAGCAAATATGTTAAAGAAAATAAAGAACTATTAGGATTGGAAGCAGCTTGTTTGAGAAACGTTAATCAGTTATTCAGTTGAAAATAAGTAATGATTTTATGGTTGGTTCCTCTACTAGATGTGAATAAAAATTGTGCCTTTAGCTCTTGGGAAGTACTTTTACTTGGCAACGTAAAATCATCGAAGGATTATCTTTGTTTTTCGATAGTACCATTTATTGTTGATGAAGAAATGCTGCCATTTGGCCCCAGTGAAGCACATTTCTGTATAGGTCAGTGGAAACGTCATTAAGATGCACTTAATTATTGTTCTCCCGATTGTCCACATATAAAATAGTTCTGTTTTTGTCTATCTAAGAGAGAATTGTAAATGTACAGATTTAATCAGAATTTAAATGATTACAACCTTTTAGAAATGCAGCTTGCATTTTCATGGTCTTTTTTTTTTTTTTTTTAAAACATCATCATTCTTACTAATGAAATTTATTTCAGAGCAGCAAATATTTTGTTAAATAAAAAGTGAGTCACTTCAAAATCTGAATAACTATATAATTATGCTTGGTATTAAAAGAAAGATTAACCCCAAATCTCAGTCCTTTCAAAGTGAACTTTGAATTACCCTCCTGGTTATGGAAAGTCATGTTTGCTTTTCATTCAGATTTTGTGAATATGAACATGTTGTTATGGGATTTACAGATGACTTTATTTAACTGAATAGAGAATTATTTTAGAGCTCATTGTATTGGCTTTCCAACCAGATTATATTCTTGAAGTGATTTTATTAAAATTACCTACAGTTTTCTAATAACTTTTAAGCTGTATATGGTCTTCATTGAAGAAGTTGATAGAGGGAGTTTGCTATACAGTATCTTGCCTCTTTTTTTTTCTTTTTTTGGTAGCTTTAAATTTTGATCTAATTTCAAACTTACAGAAATGTTACTTGAATAATACAAGGAACCCCCATATACCTTTGGTCCAAATTCATTGTCCCATTTTTTAATTGCCCACTTCCCTTTGCCCTTTCTCTCCTCTTTCATCCTTCCCTGTCCCTCTCTCCTTCCTTCTCCCTGTGTGTATACATGTCTTTGTGTGGATGCATGTTTTTATTTTTCCTAGATAGACTTCTGGGGTAGAAATTGCTGGGTCATGTAGTAAGTTTCTGTTTACCTTTTTACAGACCTGATGAAATGCATCATTCTCTGTATCTTGTACAGCATATTCTTAGAGTCTTTTTGATAAACAACTCATTCTTAGAGTCATTCTGGTGTGAATGAAATAGTATCTCATGGATTAACATATGTTTATCTACACTAGTGATATCCTCTCCTGTTTTATTGGCCATGTATATATTTTCTTTGGAGAAACATCCATTCAGAGCACCCTCACTGTCCCTTTTGGGTTGTCTTATTATGTGGTGTAAGAGATCATATATTCTGAACACAAGTTCTTTATCAATCTTGCTTTTTTTTTTTTTTAATCCAATTGACAGTCTCTGTTGAGTGGACTGTTTAGTTAATTCAGATTTAGTTTTGATATACTTGTTTGTACACTTCCCATTTTGCTTCTTCTTTCCTGTTTTTGGCATATCTCAAGAGATCCCTCTCTTCCTCCTTTTCTGAGTTACATCTTAGTGATTGATCTAGGTAGGACTGTGTGCATCTTATCAGTCTACTCTAATTCTGGTCAAATGTAGGAACTGTGTTTCAGTAGATCTCATTTTCTTCTCTGTGCTCCTAGTGTCGTATGTTATATCTGTGCATGTTACAGCAACTCAACAATATAGTTGAGTTATATAATCTTATTTCCACAGTCTTTCTCTGGGAATGTCATTTATTTTTGCCTTTGTTTTTTTAAGAATGGTTTTGCTGGATATAGAATACATGGTTGCCTTTTTTAAAATCTTTAATCATTTTGATTATGTTATCCCATAGACTCCTAGCTTCCATTATTATTTTTTTTTTTTTCAATTTGGATAATGTTATCCCATAGACTCCTAGCTCCCATTATTTTTTTGTAAGAAGTCAGCTGTTAATCATAATTTTGGTCTCCTTTTGTGATAGGTTGGTTTTTTTTTCTCTTGCAGATTTCAAGGTTTTGTTTTTGTTTGCTTATCCTTGACTTTTAGCAGTTTGACCCCATGATGACATGTTTAGGTGTGGATGTCCTTGTCTATTTCCTAGTTAGGATTTACTGGGCTTCATGGATCTGCAGATTAGGTTTTCATCAAATTTAAGCAATTTTTGGCAATTATTTCTTCAAATATATTTATTAATCCTTTTCTGTCTTCCTTCTGGGGGTCTCCTTACATATGTGTTGGTACACTTATCATTGATCTGGTCTCAGGCTTTGTTCATTTTCTTCATTTTTTTTTTTCTCCCTCTCTGCTTGAGATTGAGCAATTTCTGTTGATTCTTCAAGTTCACTGATTCTTCTGTCATCTCAAATCAGCTGAATTTTCCATTGCAGGTACTGTATTTTTCAGCTGTACGTTTCCATTCAATTCTTTAATTTACTTTGTATCTTTTTATTTTTTTATTTTTCTTTTTATTTTTTAAAGATTTTTTTATTTGACAGAGAGATCATAAGTAGGCATATAGACAGGCAGAGAGAGAGGGGGAAGCAGGCTCCCTGCTGAGCAGTGGGCCCAATGTGGGCCTTGATCCCAGGACCCTGAGATCATGACCTGAGCTGAAGGCAGAGGCTTAACCGACTGAGCCACCCAGGCACCCCTGTATCTTTTTATTGAGACTCTTCATGTGTTGTGTCATTTTCATCATGGTTTTCAACACTATTTCCATTAGTCTTTGACCATGTCCATGTAGCTGCTTTTAAATCTTTTAAATCTTTGCTGAATATACCATCTGGAAATACTTAGGTGGTTTCTCCTTAATGCTTTTTGTAGTAAGAGTCACCTTTCTTGTCTCTTTGTTTTATAATCTTGTTAAATTTCAGGTAATGTAGCAATTAGGGGTTCTGATTTCCTCCCCAGGGAGTTGTCTTGTTTTGCTTAATAACTTGCCTCCAATAAATTTCTGAGGTCTGTCTCTCTTGCAGTGTGCAGCCATTGATGTCTCTGTTCATTTCTTAAATTTTTAAGTCTTGCTTCCGACCGGTTGCTGCTGTGCCTGCATCCTTTAACATTTAGCCAAAGATTGGGCAGATGTTGTGTGCAGACCCCATTATTCATGCTTTCTCCTCTGCGGATGGATCTGTGTGGGCTTCTAAGTCCATTCAACATTTGGGTCACTTTCAAGGCTGCCTGATTTCTGCTTTCTAACAAGCTTTTTGCTTCTTTGCGTGTATGCGCATGGCTTGGCAACCATGGGTATGTGGGTGGCTTGAACCTGCTTCAGTTTCGACTGCATGCCCCTGGTAAACCTGGAGTTTCTGTGGAATGCTTATCACATTCAGATGGCTCTCTGACCTCTCAGAGCTTACAGTTAAATACCTTGCTACTCTTATCTTGTTTCCTCCAAGCATTGCAGGTTGCAGCATTGGAACCTCAAGCTAAAGAACTCTGTCTGCTTAGCATAGAGGCCACCTCTTGGACTTACTCTGCCTCAGGTCAGGCAAGTCCCTTCTCTAAGTGACAAGTTTCTGGCATGGGCAGTGAGAGCACAGCACAGACTCACACAACTCTAATTAAACTTCAGTAATTTTCATGAATAAACACTTCTTAGTTTGTTGTAGGTCTTCATAGTCTTTAAAATATTATCCAGATTAATAGCCTCGGAGTGGCTAGCTGAGCTGAGGCCCCGCCACCCCAGAGCAGCGAGCCCGGAAGAGTCCCTGCCTCACTGAGATCTGAGAGGCTTGGGCCTCGCACATGCGCTTTGGGCACCTTTAGTCACTGCCCTTTGTGCTTGGCGTCATGGTTACCGTTGCTAGGTGCTCCAAGAATCCAAACTGTTGCGCGGTGGGTTTGGCTTATCCCTAGCGCTAGTGCTGGTGTCTAGAAGTGGCGAAAAGCCCAGCGGAAGGTGAATTGTTGGTGAAGCCTCTAGGCTTTGCAATGAAGAAGTTTTTTGGTTTCGGGACTGGGTTGGGGCGTTCATCCCCGACCCTTCGCATGGAGCTGATGAGTGGCTTCGCCCCGGTTGACAAGAATGAAGGAGTCAACAAGTCGCAGCGCGGGTATAACGTCCGCCTGAAAGATCTCAAAAAGATCCACAGAGCTGCCTTCGTGGACGACGTAGCGAAAATGCAGCGGTTGCTACTGCTTGGGAAAGACCTGAATAAAAGAGACAAGATGAAACGGTAATGGGGACTTGGAAGCCGGCCGCGCCTGATGGCGGGGAGGAGTGGGGGGGACCGGGAGAAATGCGCACCTTCCCGGGCTCCGCCTGTGGAGCCGAGCCCTCCTGTCACCAGGGCGCTTGGCGGTCTTCCCTCCTGAGGCCGGGCAGCAAGGGGTCTAGCGCCCAGGCCGGCCGTCTGAGCAACAAAACAAAATCCTCAGCTGCCTTTGGACCCACTCATAAGTCCCCGTATAGGTCACTTAACAGACAGCTTTGACGTGATTGAACCACATTTCAATAGTGATAGAAAAGAAATGAAGTACATACAGTATTTTACTTTATTTTTTAAGATTTTATTATTTGACAGAGATACAGAGAGAGGGAATACAGCAGAGGGAGTGGGAGGGGGGAAGCAGCCCCCCACCCCCAGCAGAAAGCCCGATGTGGGGCTCGATCTTAGGACCCTGAGATCACGACCTGAACCCAAGGCAGATGCTGAATGACTGAGCCACCCAGGCGCCCCCAGTATTTTATTTTTAATGGACATCTTTTTATACGATAATGTTATAAAAAAAGATCTATTCCCATAATAGAGCAATATATAATTTATATCTGTGTCCACTTTGTATGTATGTTATTTACTGACTGGCTGTCAAAAAGAAATTTTGAATTGGGAAGATGGTTCTGTTTGTGATTAGGAACACGTATTTCTCAAAATGTGTACTCTTCCTGTATTTATCAATATTCCATAAAGCAAATAAAATCATCATGGTTTTAAGAATTTTGTGTTACACCTGCTCTCTTTTATCATTGTGATGACATTAAGAAAAATTTTGGAATCACTATAGTGTCAACCTGAAAGTAATAGAACACTGCATGTTAACTGGAATCAAAATAAAAACTTAAATTTTTATAAGTAGACAGATTTACCCTTCTAGATATCAAAATATACCTTAAATTTCCACAAATTACACATACACAGTTACTAATAGCTGAAAGGACAGATGAATGAATGCGGCAGAGTAGAAAATGCCAAACACCCAAATATGGTGACATTTCATATTAGTAGGAAAAGGTGAATCATTCATAAGTGGTGAAGAAATATCTGCTATTTATTTATTTATAATGGTATTAAATACTAATATTGATAATTCGTAATTCTTGATTTTTATATATGATCTATAAATCTAAATATCTAATAAAACGAAAAAAATAATTTCATTTATTTTTTAACAATGTATATGAAAATATATCATATAAATATATGATATATTTATGTATAAGATATATAAAATATATATTATTTAATATATAAAATATATATAAAATACATAATGTTTAAAAATAAAACTGTTCCAGTTTATTTGAATCCTGAGCTTCCTTCAGCTTAAAGTTTCTTGAAAATCAGAGTGAAGAATTACTTAAAAAGAATTCTTCCTGGGGCACCTGGGTGGCTCAGTGGGTTAAAGCCTCTGCCTTCGGCTCAGGTCATGATCCCAGGGTCCTGGGATCGATCCCCGTATCAGGCTCTCTGCTCAGCGGGGAGCCTGCTTCCTCCTCTCTCTCTCTG